TTTCATATGAAAGTTATAGCCCAAGAACATGGGGAAGAGGGAGAAGGAGGGTGGGGAGAAGGGAGGATGGGTGAAGGGAGGGTCCCCATAGGGGATCACACCTATGGTCCATCTTACAAGGGTACATGTGAATCTCTCTAAATGTAGAATATAAATGTCTTAACACAAAAACTAAGAAAATGCCATGAAGGCTACATTAATCAGCTAGGTGAAAATATTTCAAATTGTATATAAAGCCAGCACACTGTCCCCCATGACTGCATTAATGTACACAGCTATGATTTAATAAATAAATAAATAAAGAGTATGATAGGGGCCAAGTGCAGTGGCTCACACAGGTAATCCCAGTACTCTGGGAGACTGAGGCAGGTGGACTGCTTGAGCTCAGGAGTTCAAGACCAGCCTGAGTCAGAGTGAGACCTCATCGCTAAAAATAGCTGGGTGTGATGGTGGGCACCTGTAGTCCCAGCTGCTTGGGAGGTGGAGGCAAGAAAATTGCTTGAGCCCAAGAGTTTGAGGTTGCTGTGAGCTATGATGCTACGGCACTCTGCTGATAGAAAAAAATTAAAGAAATGCAACAGTTGTAACAGTTTTATTTTCTGAGTGGTCAGATATTTTTTTTTTTTTTTTTTGAGACAGAGCCTCAAGCTGTCCCCCTGGGCAGAGTGCCGTGGCATTACAGCTCACAGCAACCTCCAACTCCTGGGCTCAAGCGAGTCTCCTGCCTCTGCCTCCCAAGTAGCTGGGACCACAGGCGCCCGCCACAACGCCCGGCTATTTTTTGGTTGCAGCCGTCATTGTTGTTTGGCAGGCGGGCTGGGGATTCAAACCCGCCACCTTAGGTGTACATGGCTGGCGCCTTAGCCGGTTGAGCTATAGGTGCCGAGCCTGAGTGGTCAGATATCAGATGATTTGTTTTCCCTATGTTTTTGTACATTTTATAGATCTTTTTTCATTCCTCATAAAAGAAAAATTATATGACTTTAAAGTAAAAGGCAGGTAAGGTGAATTTACTGCCTGCTGGGGAATATCTGTTCTTCAGTCAGGAAAGGAGATAATTCTCCTGTTCTAGAAGCTCCATTCTCATTTTGGCTTTACAATGAATTCTGAAGGATTGTCTTTCGTTTTCTGTTTTACTATCAGCTATTGAAAATGTCAGTGGAGATGAGGGTTTGAAAAGTACTCCACATACCCCCATCAGACCGTACAGCAAATAGGTACCATACACGCTCCTGAAGTAATTCCCAGAAGACACAGGAACCGTCTGAGCTGCGTGCAAAGTGAGAACAGTGTTAGGTTTGCATAAGTCACTTAATATTTCGTTTGAGGGGGAGAGACAATTGAAACATAACTATTTAATCTAGACATTTCATTTTCACTTTTATTTATAACAATCTGAGGATTAAATTCATTTCTTACTAGTATCAACACCGTCACAACTTTATATAACATAAAAGCCTATGTTTGTTACATCAGCCAAAATGCTATGCACTATTAAAAGGGGTAAAACAGTGAATTCTTCATAAAATCTGGTCACTAAAAATTACACACTTTAGGGTCAAAAGATGTTATTTAGCCTATTTGCCTTCAAACAAGCAAGTCTGCATTGCTGTTTTCAGAGGGGGCAGCTGAGGACCAAAGAGGGAATAAAGATTTACCTGAAGATTTCTGAACTGATTGTGATAATCAAAACATTTACTTGGATCACATCACTCCTAATTTACAAATTGAAGAGAGAAATGAACATAGATTCTCAGACACAGATAGACATTAAAAAATAAAAATCTAGTGAGAAGTTGAAGTAGAAAGTGAATAGCCTGGATTTTCACTAATGCTATTCAGAGTCTTATAGAGCTATATTGTCTGGAAGACTGTAAAAGCAGTTTTAAAAGACCATAAGAACCCATTTTTTAAGATAGGTTATTATCTACTGTGGCATTTCTATTACTTAGGAGGGCAGGCTTAATTTCCCAAATGAAATTGCTTTGCATTTCTTATAAGTATTGTATCTACTTTCAATTCAGAAAATTAAGACATTTTTATTTCATTCTTTTTATTACTGCCAAACAAAACATTAGGAGTACTCTTAAAGAATTATAAATTTTATAGCAACACTAACAGAATTCTGTATGTGGCACAAGATCACTTAAGTCATAGTTAAACGATAGAAACAGGAATAGATGCTGGTACCATGTCAATTAGGCATTTTTCAAAAATCTAACTTATTAAATCTCACAAGTGTTTCTTGGCTTAGAAGTACTTCTTGGATTAAGGGATACTAAGTATTGGGATGCAACATCAGAATAGTAGATATTTATACTTGGACAGAAGTTCCATAAATGAAAATAATTCATGATCATATATAGAATAGGGAGTTATCGAAAGGGTGGTGAAAAAAAGTCATGATTATATTATGAAAATGTTAAAACACATGAGAAGCCAACAAAATCATTTCATGAACTCCCAGGCTCAGCAGTTCAAGATCTGGCTACTTTTGCTTCATACGTCTTTTTTCTTTTTTTCCCTTTTGTTAAACTTTTTAAAGTAATTCACAACATGTCATCTACCTTATTCAGTTTGTGTCTCTATGAAATAACCACAATTATCATATCAATCATAATTAAAGGTAAATCTCTTGGCACCATCTATACACAGTTCATAAATCAGATTTCTCAGGTTGAGTTATAGGTACACTTCTTATAGGTGATTTGTTCTAATTAGGACTCACACAAGGTCCACTCGTTACAAATGGTGGTTAATCTCTTTAGACTCTTTTTAAAAAAACTATTTGAGTAGATTGCCAGAGCTCAGAAGTTTGAGACCAGCCTGAGCCAGAGCAAGACCCCGTCTCTAAAAAAATAGCCAGGCATTGTGGTGGGCACCTATAGTCCCAGCTAAGCTACTCAGGAGTCTGAGGCACAAGGATCACTTGAGCCCAAGAATTTGAGTTTGCTATGAGCTATGATAGCATGGCACTCTACTGAGGGTGACAAAGAGAGACTCTGTCTCAAAAATTTTTAAAAAAAGTTATTTTTTTTTATTGAGATAGAGTCTTACTTTGTCACCCTGGGGAGAGTGCTGTGGTGTCATAGCTCACAGCAACCTCAAACTCTTGGACTCAAGTGATTCTGTTGCCTTATCCTCCCTAGTAGCTGGGACTATAGGCACCTGCCACAAAACCTGGCTATTTTTTCTTTGTTTGCTGGTTTAGCGGGCCCACCAGCTCCAGAGCATGTGGCCAATGCCCTAACCACTGAGCTATGGGTGCCAGCCTTAAAAAAAAAAAATTACTAACATTAGTATGTACAGTACATTTATCACAGTTAAGGAACTATTGTTGATTCATTGCTATTAGCTGAAGTCTGCACTTTATTCACATTTCCTTGGTTTTCACCCCATGTTTTTCTTCTGTTCTGAGATCCCATCTAGTATTTCATTCAAGTATTAGTTTAGTCATTATTTCTCTGTCGGCTCCTCTGGCCTGTGACAGTTTCTCAGACTTTGCTCATTTTTGATGACCTCCACAGTTTTGAGGATTACTGATCAGTTACTCTGCCTGATATTTTCTCCTGAGTTGAGTAGGCTCATTGATTTGGGGAGGAAGGCCCCAGAGGTAAAGGGCCATTCTCATCATATCAGAGATACACACCATCAACACCACTCATTACTGTTTTGGTTTTTTAATTACTGTTGGTATTAACGTTGATCCCCAGCTGAGGAGCTGTTGTCAGGTTTCTCCACTGTAAACTACTCTTTTGTTTTTCTCCTTCTCCATACTCTATTCTTTGGAAGAAAGTCGTTATGTGAGTCCCCACTTAAGGAATGGGGGTTTACGTTAGTAAGGACTTATGGATATTTATTTTATACCTTGGCTTACAAGCTGACACTACTCATTTGGCACCTCAGATTGTCCCAGCCTTCATCATTAGGAGCTCTTTTGGTGGCTCTTGTGTCCCTTTGACGTACCCCCCAATTTTTTTTAGCCACCCCTCTTACCCTCTGGCTCTGCAAGATACTCCACATTCATATTCTGTATCCTGTGCCCTAGCCACAGAACCGATCATTTCTCTAAGGGTCCCGGGGACACTTATTAGAGAATGGTATTAGAAACCAAGATCTGGGCCCTAGATGTGCTCTAGATGAGCTCACATAGCAAGGGGCTATCTGCGTGTGTCCTCACTGTGTGTGTGCACATATCTGTGAAGATCTCCGTGTGCACCCATGGAGAGTTGATGAGACGTCGTGCTGTCTCCAGCTCTGAGTCATTACCACGTGGGCCACTCCACCCTTTCTCCTTGCTTGTCTGTACCTCCTCATCCCAACACTGACAAACTTGACCCCCTCTCTAGTTATTTAATTTTTCAATTTTAGTATGCCTGTGTAGTGGTTGTATCATTTCACAGGACTGCTGTAATAAATTACCATCAACTGGTGGCTTAAAGCAGTAGAAATGTATCTTCTCACAGTTCTGGAGGCTAGAAGTCCAAAATTAAGAGGTTAAAAAATGTGGGAGAAAACAGAACAATATAAAGGGATGTGAGACATGGTCAAAAGTTCTAGCAGAGTATAGTTGAGTCCCAGAAAAAAAGAAAGAAAATAGAACAGGGTCAATAATTGAAAAAATAGTTGACAAGGACATTACCAATCTGATGTAAGACATTAATGTACAGATTCAGACCAGGCACGGTGGCTCATGCCTGTAATCCCAGCATTCTGGAAGGCTGAGGCAGGTGGATGACTTGAGCTCAGGAGTTCTAGACCAGCCTGAACCAGAGTGAGACCCCATTACTAAGAAATAGCTGGGCATTGTGGCGGGCGCCTGTAGTCCCTGCTACTCAAGAGCTGAGGTGAGAGGATCACTTGAGCCCAAGAGTTTGAAGTTGTTGTGAGCTGTGACAGCATGGCACTCTACTCAGGGTGACAAAATGAGACTCTGTCTCAAAAACAAAACAAAACAACAGACCTTTTTTGAGACCTCAACAGAGTCAGAAACTCAGCAGCCCCAACTAGAACAGACAGAAGTAAAACCACACTTCAACCCAAAACCACAGCTTTCAACCCATAAAGCTGAAAACCAGCTAACACAAATCCTGCCCGTTTAGAATTCTGATCCCAGCCAAGATGGTGTAACAGAGACCCATTTATCCTCCTGCCCAAAGCAAACAATCTAGACAAGATTTCGAAACAGTACTTTCTGGCATTGGACATCAGGCAGCCATGAACCTTGATTCCTGAGAGAGGTAATGAATAAGACCAGCCCAACTCTCCCCCAGCTTACTGGAGGAAGGAGCAGTCCATGTGGAGCTTGGCAGTCAGAGGAGCAGGGCTCCAGGGCAGCTGTGAACTAGAGTTCACGGTGTACAGTGATGGAAAGGGGAGACTGGCACAGTGTGCCCCCGAGACCTGCAGAACCTTAAAAGTGTGTACACGGCAGGGAGCCACCCAGGCTGGGATAGTGGGAAACCTTGTCATCATGGGACTTTGGATGGAGTATTCGGGAGGGCACTAGTGAGGACAGTCAGTGCCCAATACCACCTAATGAAGCAGAACAAAGCTCAAGAATATTGATGGGGGCCCCTCCGACCAGGCCTGGAGCGAACTGGCAGTTCCCCGGGGAACCAGGGGGCTACCCCGAGGACCCGTAGCTAAGTGCCATGGGATGCTTGGTCTTGGGCTGGGCACCATAGACGCCTTCATTTGCTTCATCAACCAGACCCAGGGCTGGGACCGACTGTTCAGAGCCACTCGGTACACGTGCATGTTGCTTAGATATTTGTTAGAGCCTAAAGCTGGCAAAGAGAAGGTGGTAATGAAGCTTAAGAAATTGGAGTCCAGTATGAGCACTGGCCGTAAATGGTTCAGACTAGGCAATGTGGTACATGTCATACAGGCCACTGAGCAGAGCATTCATGCCAATGACCTGGTACCCCGTTTGTGCCTGAATTAGCCAACCTCAACCATGTGATTTATTTCATCTGTGACACAATCCTCTGGGTGAGGAGTGTAGGTCTCGCCTCTGGCATCAACAAAGAGAAACTACTATTCTCTCCTACTGAGCCTGGGCAGGGATCTATATGAAATCTCCCAGCAGGTGGAACAGGTTGCACACAACAGGGCAAAGAGGGAGAAATCCTCGCCCCGGGATCATCTGGAGTACAGCGTGGCTGATGAGGAGACTGAATGGCTCCAGTCCTTTCTTCTTCTCTTATTCCGTTCTCTGAAGCAGCATCCTCCCCTCCTCCTTGACACAGTGAAGAACTTTTGTGATATTCTGAACCCTTTGGACCAGCTGGGAATCTATAAATCCAATCCTGGTATCATTGGACTTGGAGGACTTGTGTCCTCTGTGGCAGGCATGGTCATTGTGGCATATCCTCAGATGAAGCTGAAGACCCGCTAGTGTGTTTTCCGGCTGAGAAGTAATAGTATCTGCTTTAACAGATGACCTTTTAGTGGATTGGACATTTGCATTAGTCATGGACCATGTCAGACTGTACTTAAGTTCTTGTTCACGAGAACATTTAGTGACCCGTGATGTGAGCAGAGGTGGGGCCAAGAGTGCAGAAGGGGAGATCATGAAGATTTCTGTGTATTTTTTTAGAGTGCTGGAGTGACTTGTGAGTGTATGGATATTTTCTCTTCATCTAACATTTATTGAACCTCTCTTACATGGATAGTAGGAGCATAGTGCTTGCTGAATAAATAAAAATGGAAAGGGAAAAAATTGAAAAAGACCTAATCAAACTTAATAAGTGAGCACTAGTAAACAGTAACTTCTGAGCCATTGATTTTGCATGACTGTAATAGGTCTCATGCGCAGCACTCCCAGATCTGATAGAGGCTTTTCCCCCCTCTTATCGTGTACACGTCCCCCACCCCAGATGTCATTAGCAGGATGAAAAGGCTGTACAGGTTGTAGCCTCTTAACTTGTTGGCCCTGACCATTGCTGTACCCAGACCCTTGCTCTGTCTAGAAGTAGAATCAGGAAGTCACCAGGCGCATTGATGGTATAAATTATGTCTATGAGGTGAGGTCTTTAGGTAAGTACAACAAGTAAACAAAACTCAAAAGCAGGCAGAGGGGACTTGAGGTTAAAAAAGGTAGATGGCTCTGCGCCTTTGGCTCAAGCAGCTAAGGTGCCAGCCACATACCCCTGAGCTGGCGGGTTTGAATCCAGCCTGGCCTGCCAAATGACAATGACAGCTGCAACCAAAAAAACAGCTGGGCATTGTGGCAGGCACCTGTAATCCCAGCTACTTGGGAGGTGGAGGCAGGAGAATCGCTTGAGCCCAGGAGTTGGAGGTTGCTGTGAGCTGTGATACCACGGTACTCTACCCAGGGTGACAGCTTGAGGCTATCTCAAAAAAAAAAAAAAAAGGTAGAGGGTCACAATTTGTGTGGCCTGTGACAAGAAAGCATACTAAAAAAATAAAAAATAACCTCTGAGGCCAGAACCTCCTGCTCTGTCTCCCAATTCAGTGTTCTTTCTATACTTTCTCACTACCTTAAAGATTTAGTATAAGTGTGAGCCTTTCTGGAATCCTATGTTTTTTGCCTCATACCCTCCTCAAATTTGGGACTTTCATTGGTCAAGGGTTTCTGTCTGTTCTATAAAAATTAAAACCATATATAGGCTGGGTGTGGTGGCTTGCTCCTGTAACCCTAGCACTCTGGGAGACTGAGGCAGGAGAATCTCTGGAACCCAGGACTTTAAGGTTGCTGTGAGCTATGATGATGCTACTACGCTGTACCCAGGGCAACAGAGAGAGACTGAAAAAAAGGAACTAACAAAACCTCCCAGCCCCCAAAGCCTCATCTAAACTTATGAGCTAGATTGTTTTATTTAAAGCCTTGTAACAGTTTGGGCAATTCAACATTAATTTTTACAAAAATGTATGTGGTTAGTAGGGTCACAATTTTCTATGATAAATCAGACTTCTTGTTTGTAGGGTGGTTGAGGGAGGTGAGAAGAGCAATAGGGGCCTGTGAAGAGGATACTGGAATATTGAGTCAGTGACACTAACCTGTGTTCTGCTTCCCATCCTGGTTGTTGAGTCCTCGTGTGGTTATAAGTCCTTTAGTTTGAAGGATGTTAAGTGGATAAATGTCAACAGGGAGGAGGCCAGCATCAGTGCCCCCAACAAAGCCATGCCATTTATCTAAGTGTGAATGAGGAGAGATTTGATTTGAGATCAATTTGAGATTCGAGAAAGAACATTTTGGGAATTTTAAGAAAAATGAAAGCTACTGTATCAGGGCAAATAAGTTTAAATAACAATATTTTTACTTTGTCCAGATCCTGTAATAGATTAATTATGGCCAATAAATTTCTAGACGGAAAAAAAGAGAATATCGATGGGGAAAAAATAAGATAAAATTGAGAATGTCTGGCATTAGCTAGGACTAATTTACCTCAATAAGGATGATTTGGTGGGCAGAGTCCTGTCACATGGATGTGGTGAATTTTCTCTTCTGAAAAAGATGAGAATAGACCAGCTACAGTACAAGATAGTGTGAAATGAGCTGTGATCATAAACTGGGCATGACTTTGATATATCCATGAGGTTTAAAAAGAAAGATTATTAGTAATACAAGTAGAATATACATCATGTGAAGAATTTATGGTAACATTTAGTCCAAATAGTTGTTGGACTAGTTTTAGAATCGTGTATAATCCTTGGCTCTTTCAAATTAAGGTTGTATAAAGATTAAGATTTGTTAGATCAGAATGGTGGGTGCATGGGTAGTGTACTGTCCTCTGCACTCCATGCTGGGAATGCCAGGAGATTCTTAGACTTACGCCTCCCTGGGGCTAGGGGCACTCACACCTCTTCACCCATGCACTGGGCTCCCAGTGTGAGGAAGAGCATTCCTGCATCAAGCATGTGGAGACACATCTGCTCCTTTCCTAGATTGCCCCTGAGTATGAAAAAATTAGTGTAAAAATATAAATTATAAAGTTTGGAATTTTTTGAATGGAGAATAACATGTTGACGGCAATTTAATGGTGATTATCATGTGTATCATGTTTTAATCCCAGCCATAATAACCAGGAGGTTCAGCAGGGGAGGTTTGCAGTAAGGGATACATTCATATTTGCTAAGCACCTACTATGTGCTGTACACTATACTAACAGTCTCTCATGGTGTTACCTCATTTTAGTCTATCGTCAGTTTATATGGTAGGCCTCGTTTTCCTGTTATAGATGAGGAACTCAGGGCTCTTAGGAAAAAACAATTTGCCCAATATCACCAGTAGTACTGTCAGAAGAAACTAATAAAGTGTAAGACATGTGGTTTGTGTTATAAAGGGAAAGATTTACTAATGGTGGAAAGTCTTAAGCTTTATAGTTGGCGATGTAGAAAAACTTAGCAACTTTTCTTTTTCTGGAAATTTTAGACTTTTTATGTGTGTGTGTGATGGTTTAAGAGTGGTGCTGCCTAAAGGCACAGGTAATTGGCTACATGAGCTCTCAGAGTTTTCTCTAAGTCTTAAGGTACTATAACTGGATATTTATATGATCTCAAATGTGTTCTTATTTATCTCCTTTTCTTAAGGTGGATAATATAAATGCAGCTGTGATGGATTTGAAGAAAAAGAACATCCGGAGCCTAAGTGAAGAGGCCAAAATAGGAGCACATGGAAAACCAGTGATTTTTCTCCATCCCAAAGACTGTGGGGGGGTCCTGGTGGAGCTGGAACAAGCTTGATCTATAGTTGCAAGAACCTGAGTTACTGGACCTGGAAAAGCCTATCAGACACTGTCCGAATGGACTATGGCCTTCAGTCCTTCACTGCTGTCATCACTTAAACATTCAAAGTTAAAAATCTAATTATGGGAGGATTAAAATACACACAGGCACACACATCTACACACAAGTAAATATACACAGATATATGATTGTTATTTTGATTAACAAATAATATAATTGGATTTGGAGAAGACCTTGATTACTCAATACTTATAGATCATTATTAAAATCATATGTATAGAAATAAATTATTATTCCTGTTCTAAAATGGAGTAATTGATACATATAGTATGTTGGCTGTGTAAAAGGGGGTGTGCGTGTTTGTGTGTGTGTGTGAGGTTGGTGCACACAGGAGCTGTGAAAGTCCGTTTGACACGTGCATACCTGCATATTGAGGATGAAACTATGTTTTGGGGGTTTTTTAAACTTTTTAAAAACACTTTCAAAAGATATTTTGGATCAGGCTTTATAGAGCAAAACTGTTTGATGTTAGGGAATTTTGATCTCAAAATTCTTGCTCTTGAGGAATAACTCATGGTCACAAGTTTCTTAGGCACAGTGCTATATAGTACTTAATAGAGATGGAGGTTTAACTCTGTGGCCCAGGTTGGTTTCAATTGCCTGGCTTCAAACAGTCCTCCCACCTCAGCCTTTCCAAGTACTGGGATTACAGGAATGAGCCACTTGGCTCATTCCTTTGATGAATGGTGCTCCATGGCAGTGTGTGTGTGTGTGTGTGTGTGTGTATACATACCACATTTTCTCTATCTGCTCATCCATCGATGACCCCTTAGGTTGGGTTCATATCTTTGTACTTGTAAATTGTACTGTGATAGAACATTTTATATGATTAAATTATTTCATCCATTTTATAGGTACAGGTATCCACTTCTATGATGAAATTATTTCTTTTACTTGGGTAGATCCCAAGCAGTGGGATTGCTGATTGAATGGTAGATTTACTCCTAGTCCTCTGAGGAAGCTGTCTAGTGTTTTCCATAGAGGAAATGTACTAATTTACATACCCACCATTTACCTTGATGGGTAAGTTGTTCTTTTTTCACCACATACTCACCAGCATCTATTGATTTTTAACTTTTTGATTATGGCCATTCTGACAGGAATAAGTGGTATCTCATTTTGGTTTTAATTTGCATTTCTCTAATAATTAGTGATGTTGAGCATTTTTTCATGATTCTTGGCCATTTGTTTCTCTTCTTTTGAAAAATGTCTCTGCCTTTATGCCCACTTTTTTTTTTAATTGGCCAGGGCTGGGTTTAAACCTGCCACGTCTGGTATATGGGGCTGGCACCCTACCCCTTTGAGCCACAGGCACTGCCCTATGCCCACTTTTAAGTGGAGTTATTGGTTTTGATTTTTTTTTCTTATACATGTGTATACAAGGTTTCCACTTTTGCCTCCACAGAATTAAAAAGGCTAAATTTAATGACAATAACAATATTTAACATAAGGACTGAGAACAAAAACCTCATAAAGAACAAATGAAGATTATAAATACATTCAGAAAAGAAATCAGACAATTGCTACAACAAAATATTAAGAAACAATAATAGTAATAATGCAAAGAAAGTAACATTCACATTGTCAGATAGAAGTATGTCTATTATAGAAACTTTGATCAGTTAACTTCTTTTGTTTTTTCCAAAGTCTCAAAAAATTAGACAATTAATATTTATAAATAAAAGTAAAGGATAATTTCCAAAAAACAGATCATGCCAAATCTCATAGACAATAGAAAAAGAAATACTTCAAAATCATTCTACTTAATGATCTGGATACACCTGATATTAAAATTGGAGAAAATATATTATAAATTTTTTTCTAGATGAAATGTTTGAGTTCCATGTAGATTCTGGGTTTTAGGCCTTTATCAAACATATAGCTTGTGAATATTTTTCCCCATTCTGCAGGTTGTCTATTCACCCTGTTGATTACAGTTTCCTGTGCAGA